TGAAATGCATTGTTTGACAATCTTCAAACGTTTTATCTAATAATTTTGAAGTGCTATATTTGATAATCATGAAATCCTATATTTGAAAATTCAGAAAAGCTATATTTAAATGCTGTAATTAATGTATTAGCTAAAAGAATAATTATGTTTCTTTTAGTTTCTTAAACCTCATCGATGGATCGAGTCATGTCAACGATAATAAGCCAATGACTTGTCAACGACTACCAAAAATCGTAACTTTAATAAATCCCTGTCGAAGCGAGTTTTGGAGTTGTGTTCTTGCATCTACAATTTATCTAAAAATTACTTGAAAGTTGAATCCATAAATTATAAAATATGCAACTACAAAAAAACCCGTCCTTTGAAGAAATGTTTTGACAACATTTCAAGGATCACTGTCCTCAGTCTCAGAGTGGAGAGTCAGTTTCGTTTTTCGACACACACAGCAATATTACAGCTATATGGCGGAGGTCTGTATATAATCGAGTCTGGACCAGACAATCCAGTGATAAACAGCATGAGCTTCGATCTGCGCAACTGGGAACCGATGACATGTGTGAACCAAGTCAGCGAGTCTGACCACCCGATCCCGTTAGTTGCCTCTTACGACAAGCATGGGCTACTGAAGACCAATTCTAACCCGGATCTTCACGGGTCCACTGTCGTCAGAACACTATCTTGTACCAGCTGAGCACTACACGTTTCATCAGATGTGCATTTGGTTAGAAAAGCATCGTTGTCAATGCTCAGCTAACACACTCAGCCCACAGTTACCAGATCATTGTCTGTCATCTACCTGTACAGTACATGTATGTCAACGAATAATTGTTATGTCGGACCATCGGTACGGTGCACCTGTTGCACATCTATCGGTATGTGAATCATGAATCAAACACGGACAACAAAGCAAAATAAAGTCTAAGTGAAAAAATGATGTTCAAAATACCTTTTCATGTGGTTGTTACCTTGTTAAACACAACTTTCCATTGGTAATCACAAGCTTCTGTGCACATGACACATATTATCTGTTTGGGACGGTCCGATCGCCGGAAATCCCGGAAACGTTACACTCACTTCATGGTGGTAATGGTGAAATGTGGACTTGGTTTTATACGAAAACAGATTGGAAGCGAATTATGGCAGTGAAGGAACTCTCCTCAGCTGACGCATGGTTAGGATCAGGAATCATTGCTGTATATTACTTCCATTTTATTACTTGCCGCGTCACATGCAGTAGACATTTTATCCTTGTTAGCCATGCCCAACAGCTGACAATGAAATTGAGTGAGTGAATTTATTTTACACCGCTTTTAGCAATATTCCAGTAATATCACGGCGGGGTCACCAGAAATGAGCTTCTTCACACATTGTAGCCATGTGGGGAATCGAATCCGGGTCTTCGACATGACGAACAACGCTTTAGCCACTTGGCTGCCAAACCGCCCCCTACAGTGTACTGAAAACTTATGCTAACGCTGGGTCTCTTAACATGTATAATTTTGGCCAGAAACAAATAATTCTTTAAATTGAAAAGGAGCCACACTCACTCACTCACTCATTGGTTGGTAAGTTGTAACAGCGCGAGAAATAACACATATTAGTATTTGCATATATTGATCCACCTGATTCGGTTTTAGACTTCTGATCTTCTGAGCAATCCATGCTTGTCGTTGAGGCGTCTAACGGGATTCGCGTGACACATGTCAGCGTATCCCAATTGCGTAGGTCGATGCGCATGATGTCAATCACTGGATCGTCTGGTCCTTGCTGTACAAAGAGGAACATATGTGCCCGTGTCCCTTATCATTTCAATATAGTGCTGCTAAACATTCTCGATGTTCCGGCTATGACGCCTGCTAATCTCGATGACGTCACAATGTTATGACGTCGCTGCAATGCAAGTTTAATGGCGCTACCGTGTTCAGAGATGTACATTTTCACTGAGAACTGATGAAGCACTATAGTTTTACTATAGCACTACAGACATTTTGGCCCTACATCTAATTTTCAGGATGTCCCGACAGTTTGGAAGACTTGATTTCCGGTGACTGTTTGAATTAAATCTGGTTCAACTGGTCCAGTCAAGTTCAAACCCGAGAAACAATTTGGCAGGTGTTTTCCTGTTGTACAGTGTGGAGTAGATCTGGTCTCTGATTTCTCCAACCAAACTCAATTATTTACTCAAATTCAAACCGAGCATGACAATTGGAAACAGCCGAATTTCTGACTCAACTGTATTTCTAAAATAAAACAGCCCAAACAACTCAAGTAACCTATCCACCAAACTGAAATTGTCTACTATGTTTGAGTTAACTATCGATTTCAGGTTATCATGGGGAATGCATTTGCGGCGTTTTCTCAGTTTTTAGTAAAAACTCTAACTTCTAAGTCAAAACTCAGACTTATGTTTGTTTTGGAGCAATCTGGCCCGTACATCAATAGTAGGAACTGCCTCACATTTCTTTTTGTACTGCACTTGAATCCACGTTGGCTGCGTTTATAGCTCGATCTCTTACATACGCTGGCACTACTCTTCTGCCTGACCGTTGGTAGCTGGATGATAGGGGACTGAGAGAACACACTTCACTCCATTCCCTCTGCCTGGGCCGTTGGTAGCTGGATGATAGGGGGCTGACATAACATGCTTCACTCCATTCTCTGCCTGACCGTTGGTAGCTGGATGATAGGGGGACTGAGAGAACATACTTCACTCCATTCTCTGCCTGGCCGTTGGTAGCTGGATGATAGGGGACTGAGAGAACATACTTCACTCCATTCTCTGCCTGGCCGTTGGTAGCTGGATGATAGGGGCTGAGAGAACATGCGCCGGGTGGGACAACTTAGGAATGGCCAGCGAGTCCTAACTTGACACACAGAAGGAAGCGAGCTACAAAGACATAATTTATATCATTGGAAATATCTCGAGGAGATGAACCCAAAAGTTCATGTGCCAGTGCGCGCACGTGTTCATAAGCTCACAAATGGGCTCTGAAAATGCATTTCTGCAGAAATTACTGGCAGAATTAATTTTTTTCCGCAGAAATTTCTGGCAGATTTTTTTTTACCGCAGAAATTTCTGGCAGAATTTTTTTTTTTCCCCGCAGAAATTTCTGGCAGAAATTTTCATTTCACT